CTCGTCTCTTTACAGACGAATTTTGTTCAAACTTGGTATATACATTAGACATTATGGGACCTTGATGCAAATAATTTTGTTTTTCAGATAGAATTGAAAATGGCCGACTGGCGGCCATTTTGTATTAATGAATGTGGTTCTCGTGCCATATCTATGACTTGCTTTCACTGATTATGTTCATATTTTAAATATTCATTATACATCATGTCATAGATAAACAAATATATTGGTTTGACTATCCTATTCAAAATGGCCGAATGGTGGTCATTTTTGTGCTAAAAAATCATCAAATATCAAGCATTTATGGGTGGATTTCGTTCAAACTTGGTACATACATTAGACATTACGGGTTCCTGATGCTCGTCATTTTATTTTTCAGATTGGATTCAAAATGGCTGACTGGCAGCCATTTTGTTTTAATGATTGGGCTTCTAGAGCCATATCTCTTAAATGCTTTGACTTATATTTAAATTTTATATATTCGTTATACATCATGTTATATATATACATGTATTCAAAATGGCTGATTTTGAATGCTGTTCCAGAGCAATATCTCTCAATATGGACAAGTACTTGTTTGACAATCAGATACAAATGTCAATCATTTTAATGTTAAAAAAATCATATTCCTGACATGGTTATATTCCAGCTATATTACTATAAACAAAACTATATATCTTAAATTTGATAACTAACGGGGACTGTGACATGCATGGCTTGTTGTTATTTGAATTACATTATTACGAAAATAAAAACAATAGATTACAGCTTACAAAAATTGTAAAAATTGCTGACCCTCAACAGTATTGCATATAGCTCACTGTTTTTTCTAACAAAGTAGCAATATTGATATCAGATAGCCATTACAAACTGTTGCATTTGAACTGTCAGTATTGCTGTGATCTATATTCCAGTACTGCTGGTTGGGTTCTTCTTTCGTTCAGAGTAAGTTTGCTTTTTGATCCAGAGGCTAAAAGATGGAATTGTACGTACATGGTCAAATATGGTTGATATGAGCTATATGCCGCTGTTTACTGACTGAAAGGTGGTATATACTGCAATGTATTACTGCTCAAACCACCATAATTAATCACAGGACATGATGTGTTTAATGATAGATACCATCGCACGTATTTTCGCATTGACTGGATCTCACCTTGGTTTATAAATTGTTGTAGTGCGTCATTTGATTGTTGATTGAATCAAACATCGCGGATTTTGTGTGTGCCATCAATCATTAAAATTCTGATTCAAACCTCGTTTAATAGTATGCAAATTGCATGAACATAAGGTATTGTTAGAAAAATGCTAGTTTATTATGCAAAAAAGATTACCATGGGTTCTCTTTGTGAACCAGTCAAATGATAATAAAATGTGTGCATGGTATGTGATGGCTGTAGATTGTACAAGTCAACTTTTATTTTTCAGTACCTTAGAACGAATGCTAGATACAATTCTTACTGACGAGGAGAAAAAACAACCATTACGGTTACCAAGTAAAGAACAATATAGGTATGTTATCCTTAACAGTCTTACTGAAATAGACTTGTTTTATAGTTGTGTGTGATGTCTCACTCCCCTACAAGATGTTCTACATGGTAAGGGTAGAGGGGACTGTTAAAAATGCACTTAAACTGTCACCATGCAGTCAGTCTAATAACATACAGCCCTTCCTTGCAATATGTATCTCCTCTCAAACCAGGCAACTACTACGAGTAAGGTTGTGATAGTTTCACTATGTTTTCAATTGTAAAGGTTTGCTGAGGAAGACAGTGAAGACAATATAGTATTTGAAGACTGTCAGACGTCCAATGGTATTCAAGTTATCCGCGGTGGCTCGCTATTGAAACTCATAGAACGATTGACTTATCACACTTATGCAAATCCATCCTTCGTAAGGACATTCCTGACTACGTACAGATCGTTTTGTAAGCCGCAAGAGTTATTAGAGCTTCTCATTGAGCGATATCCTTTAATGAATCAGGTTTACATGATTTTGATACAGCTATTTGCATATTAATTGTCGCTTTTGTATAATAATTAAGCGTAATAATTAAGCATTAACCATTACTCAATTTGTGCCTGACTATAATTGGTTTACATAAATTAAAGTTCAGAGTGGGTAGCATGTAGAGTAACTCCTCGGGTTCATGGTAATTCACGTTTGTCAGCTCTTCCTCGCTATCACATGATATAAATGATACAATTTAGGAGTTGTGTGTAATTAAAACAGTGTTCAGTGAATGAAAAGTGATTGCCAAGTATGTAAAATTACTAGATTTGATCATGTTTGCAGAATAGATTATAGATTTTTTACCGGTAATAGTTGTGAAGGCACTTCCTACAATAAGCACTGTTTTCATTTCATGTACTTTAATATTAGCTCTATATTGCGTGTTTGTTTTGTTGACTTTTTTAAAGCTGCTATGCTGATGATTTTTACGACTGATGAGACTAATATAAATTGTCAGTTGTGGTTGATAACGACTTCATGTTTGAATTCCTCATAGCTCATACGTCACTGGTCATTGACCTTTGAATAACCTTTCCAGTCCATTAAATCAACAGTGGTAAGGACTTAGAATAACATTACAAAAGACACGTTGCAGTCTTTGGGCAAATGGTTATGGTAGTCTTATTGTATGGTTGGCCACCTGTTGATACACAACCAGTAATGTACAGTTTTAGGGTCTCCCCCCTCTTTCTCTGCCACACTTATTAATTTGCACTATCCTGAGTGGTATGGTATGAAATGATTTGCATACACCATGACAACAAGAATGCTGGATGGTTACCTAATCTGAGTATTAGTAAGAACTGTTGTGGCAGACGCTGTTATCACATTTCACTGGCTTCACTATTTTTCTTGATGTGTGAAATATGCTAAATTAAAATCATATGAATGTGTTATATTGCAATATTTAAAAAAAAAAGATAAATGAAACAGCAGTGAAAATTGATTGTTTTACAGTGGATAAAATTAGATAAGAGTGTCAGGTGGTATTGGTAAGCGCTTTGTCAGAGTTTATTATATTTACCAGCATCACCATATATAATGTGTAACAATTCCTTGACTTCCTGGCGTACATTTGAGATTCCGGATCCACCAATGACTGAAGAGGATGAATCTGCTCTCAGACGCGGCGTTTCCTTGGTTAGGGAAGATTTGAAGAAATTCAGAAAAGAATATGCACAACCTGTTCAACTACGGTGAGTGAATGCTACTGTGTCAATGCTACAATACGCTCACTATTAGGAATGGATGTATGTGGGTTAGGTTTGTGACTGGAAATTCATGACTTTGACCAAACCTTTGCTGAGAAAGCATATTAAATTGATGTAATTCTGGTATTCGTGGTAAGATCACATCTGATCATCTTGTGTAAATCCAAACATGAAATATGGTCCCTCTGTTCTTAAAGGTACAGCACAGCGTATGTGCCAGTGTCAATTTGTGTACTTATCTCACAAACCAGAAATAGGAGATAGTACTATATTTCCTGGCAGCTATAATAAGAAATAATATAATATATTATAATTTCTATAATATTAGAAATTTTTTGCAGAAAATCAAAGTGATTCCACTTGCATTCTAAATTTTTTTTTTCCTGCAGAGTTCTAAATGTATTCAGACATTGGGTAGATCAGCATTTTTATGACTTTGAAAGACATCCAGAGTTACTTGAGAGATTAATGGAATTTATAGACAATGTAAAAGGGAAAGCTATGAGAAAATGGGTTGAATCTATTAAAAAAATAGTGCAGAGAAGGGTAAGTGAATGGTGGTTATCTCTATGGCAACTTGCATTCCTAATCTGACACCAGATTCCTACTCTGAATTCCAAATCTAACTAAATATTTTTCTGTGTGTGAAAACTCTCTGTATAATAATGATTTGTTTATTACTGCAAACAATGCCATATTTGTCATAGTGCTTACTGTGAAATACTTTATTTTAGCTGGAATTAATTTTCGCTGAAAAGACTTTTTGGGTCGTTTGTATGGAATTTATTAGTGCCCGTTCAGACGCAGTTCGAAAACGGGGACTTTGTTTTGACCTCTGTGCATCCATATTTCAGTCTGTGCGTGCGTGCGTTCGGACCTGTATCTTAGAAATGCCTGGACCAATCACAATCAAACTTCACACATACATCATACATGATATTATACATATGCACATCAATTTGTTTCACGATCTGATTCAAGATGGCCGAATGGCGGCCATTTTTGTTCGAAAAATCATCAAAATCAAGCATTTCTCGGCTGTTTACAGATGGATTTTGTTCAAACTTCGTATATACGTTGGACATTATAGGACCTTGATACACATCATTTTGTTTTCAGATAAGATTCAAAATGGCCGACTGGCAGCCATTTTGTTTTAATAAATGTGGTTCTAGTGCCATATCTCTGACTTGCTGTGACTGATTATGTTCAAATTTTGAATATTCATTATACATCATGTCATAGATATACAGATTTATTGGTTTGACGATCCTATTAAAAATGGCTGAATGGTTGCCATTTTTGCGCTGAAAAATCATCAAAATCAAGCATTTCTCGGCTGTTTACAGATGGATTTTGTTCAAACTTAGTATATACGTTGGACATTATAGGACCTTGATGCACATCATTTTGTTTTGCAGATAAGATTCAAAATGGCCATTTTGTTTTAATGAGTGTGGTTTTAGTGCCATATCTCTGACTTGCTGTGACTGATTATGTTCAAATTTTAGAGCATTTCTGGCATTTATGGATGGATTTTGTTCAAACTTGGTACACACATTAGACATTACGCGTTCCTGATGCACGTTATTTTATTTTTAAGATCAGATTCAGAATGGCTGACTAGTGGCCATTTTTTTGTAATGAATGGGCTTCTAGAGCCATATCTGACATGCTTTGACTGACTATGTTTAAATTTTATATATTCATTATACATGTATTCAAAATGGCTGATTTTGTTTCAATTAATGCTGTTCCAGAACAATATCTCTCAATACTCATTTGACGATCAGATACAAATGTCAATGATTTAAATGTTAAACAATCATCATAATCATATTCCTGACATGTTTATATTCCAGCTATATTACTATAAACAAAACTATATCTCTTAAATTCAATAACTAACGGGGACTGTGCGAGTTGAAAAAAGGTATATTCATTGGATTTTATTTTCACTAAATTCTAAGTGAAAATAAAGTATTTTACAGTTATATCTCGCATGAATAACAGAAATTTGGCTGACATGTTAAGGGGTCTTTGTACATGAGCATATGCTTTGAATTGTAAATCATTCTGAACTTGACTGAAATTGGTAAAGGCTGATAATAGTACCGTAAAATCTGTATTAGAAGCTGCATCCCTAATAGTAGCCGCACCAATTTTTTTCTGAACAATTGAGAACCAAAATGTTACCATTTCTCATATTTGTAGATTTTTTATTAAAAGCTGCATCCTTTCTGTTTCATTGTATCTTTTTAACCTTTTTACTACCAGTTCCCTCTATTCATCACAAATTTTCAAAATAGTTCCATTATTAGTCTGCACTTTCCTTCAGAATATTAGGACAAAAATAGGCAAATTTTTTTGCAGTAAAAACTGAAAATTGACTCAAATTTTGTCTGTTGGCTCCAAAATTGGGGTTCATTTCCAGAAATATTGAAGAATACAAAAAAAAAATACAACAAATTTGGACAAGAAAGACTGGTGTTGAGAAGAAGTACTAGTAGCCGCAGTACTTCAATTGTGCAAGCATTTTTATAATCAATGATGACTGACAAGTGCTATTTTAGTTAACATTTCAAAGTTATTTCTTTATTCTACAGTCTTTAACCGGAAGCACTGAGCAGTTAGAAATCACATTTGACCAGACACCACCACAAACAGAACACTATCTTGCAAAATCAAGTGATGAATTTGACTTGATGACGGTAAGTTTTCAAATCTGTAAATCAATCTGGGATATAAAGTCACCATTTGTCTTCTCTAAATAATGTTGAGGCTGATTCAAAGATGTATATTTCATGTTAATACGTTCATTATTATGCCATTAGGATACAGAAAATTATGTCACTAAAAAAATTGGGGTCACTAGAAAAGTTTTAGAAAATAATATTGCAAAATGTCATGGAAAACCACCAAATTATCTTTGCAGAAGGAGTTGGCTGAAAAATTTATGTATTATAAATCATAATATTGTTCCCATAATGCATTGCACATATACTCAGTACATACAGTAATACAAAGTTTGAGTTTCCAGAATTTTCTGCTTTTTGTGATTTTCATCAGCAGTTATTGACATTTTTTTTATTTGTCTCTACTATTGTCTTACAGCTTCATCCTGTAGAAATTGCTCGTCAGTTAACGTTATTAGAATTTGATTTATTTCGAGCTGTGAAACCATCTGAACTTGTTGGATGTGTTTGGACAAAAAAAGATAAATATATCTTGTCACCGAATTTACTTAAGATGATACAGCAAACAACAAACGTGAGTAAAAAAACAAAAAAACAATGGAAGATAGAAGTGTGGTATTACTCCTCATACATGTATTGTAAGATGGGGTAGTGTTGTATTTCTATCCTGCCCTTGGCTACCAACAAGTATGAGTGGGAGTGTTTTAGTGAAATAACTTGTTGTTGTCAGCGCCACACCATAAATCATGCACTTTAGTTTCAGCACCATCAAATAGGGACAGAAATTAAACACATTGAATCCCTATGTTTGAAATTTGAAATTAGGTTCACATTTAGTATGTGAGCTACAGAAAATTTCAGATTGGAATTCAAGCTCCAAGATACTCTGCATGCCAATGTCATTATTTGTCAGCTTTCTCAAAATAAACTTGTGTATTCTGTTCATATTTATTTTAAAAATTGTAATCAAGATCTGTAGCTAATGAGAAATTATGTCTATTTGATCAAAAATAACAAAATAATTTTAGAAAATTCATAAACATGTACGATGTAGCTTTCAAATTATTTTAAAGAAGTCTTGAATGATGTTTGCCCTGGGCCAATCTATAAATGTCATGACATCATACTGTTAACAAAAATATTTTGGAATAATTAGTTATTTTATCTATAAAACGCCTATATACAGCTTCCTGTTTTTAATCTCTTTGTAATATTTGGAAAATAACCATAAAATCCTGTTCAACTTTAGGGTGGGCAGATTATGCATATTTAATGAGTTGCAATACTAGACCGTTTCATTAGCTTTGTAATATTCACCTAGTGGGTGTTACTACATTATTATCAAATATGCATTATGTGAAACACATTTGAGTTGTTTTTTTTGCTTGATAGTTATTTATTTTCATTGCAACTAAGCGTTTTGGTTTGCGATCAATATTGTGCTGTGGTTGACTCCCTTGTCTGCCAATAATGTTATATGAGAGAAAATATCTGTTTTGTCATCGTTGTCATAAACTCTTGTTTTTGTGGTTACAATAAGTCAAACAATTTTTATCTGAACATCTTTAAACTTTGAAATCTTATCAATCACTATGAAATCTCAACCGAGTTCAATTTTCACATTACTAGCCTGTCTAATTTTCAAGACATACTTAAAAACTTGGCTGAAACGAAATGTTTGTTAGACGTAGGATGAAACCATTTAATATACTGCTGATAATGAGAATCAGACGTAATAGTCTTCATGATCTGTTACTTAAATATTTAAAGCTGATATGTTTTCGTTTATATTACTGTGCTATGTTGGAACTTTTATGCAAGTCGTGCTGTTATTTTATAAAGGACCTTGAGATTAATATACCGGTAGTACATGTATTATTTTAGGTACAAAATGTTATTAGTATTATAGGTATTAATACATCCACAATACACCAGATAATCACCAGTGTGATAAACACAGTGCAGTTTGTATTCATTTTGAATTCCTATTTGTTATTTAATATCTGCAGTCTCAATGGGCAATGTTGTAATAGTTACACTATGTTTTGTTATAGTTAACACTGTGGCTAGAAAAGTGTATAGTTTGTGCAGAAAACATTGAAGAAAGAGTTGCTGTAGTGTCTAGAATTATAGAGATATTAATGGTAAGTCTTGTATTCTATTTAATGGTAACCCAGTAACTGGGAATAATTTGTCATTGCCATGTTTAGAACTGTCAGACCAATATGCTTTCCATGTGTTTTGCAACCTTGCCATGGATCAAGTAGCATTTTACCACAGGCTAGGGCATAGAGGGCGCTGTGGGAAAACTAATAGACTAGTCAGTTTAAATATTAAAGTACTTGTAATAAACCAATCAAATGCATTATGTTCTCTCTGGATCTGTAGGTGTTTCAAGAGTTGAATAATTTTAATGGAGTATTAGAGATAGTTAGTGCTGTAAACTCAGCGCCTGTACATAGGCTGGAGCATACATTTATGGTAAGTCCTGCATATTAAAGTGATTCTCTTATTCCACTTCCACTGAGAATAAGAATTAGTTATTTGGCATCAACAGAAATATGTTGTGTTATATCACAAATTTTTATGTTTGATATTCTCACAAGTAGCTGCAGATGACAAGTGAGAATATTGAAGATAATAACGAGTGATATAACGTGGTAATTTATCTCTTTATCATACATGCAACAGCTCATATGATGTGCTAAAACTTAAATAAGGTTTGAATTCAGACAACTGAATTTAAATGTTTCATGGCATGAATGTTTTTACACACTTGAATGTGTTATAATTGTTTTTATTTAACTCCCATCATAGGAGGTTAATCCTAAAAAGACTTTGAGATTGGCACTGGATGAAGCCAAAGAGTTGAGTGAAGATCATTTAAAGAAATATCAAGAGAAATTAAGGTCAATTAATCCACCATGTGTTCCATTCTTTGGTACGTAACATATGTTTACACAACCATTGATCCCTTGCCTTTTCCCGTCGGTTATTTTTAAGGATTTTTTCTATAAATTTCTCGTCAATCCAAAAATGTAATTACCAGATTGGTTCGTAAACTGTAATTGATTAATACAGTGTTGTATGCCTGGTTGTATGCTGTGCTATGATTGGTTGAATGCTAACTGCATAATATTATTGATTCAAAAAGCAACTAAGATAGTGATGGAGAAGACATCTGTCACCATCTGCTGATCACCAGTCGTGTAACATCATTCAGGGCAAGCATTTTTCTCTCTTTTCAGGAATGTACCTGACAAATATTTTACACATAGAAGAAGGAAATCCAGATTTTCTTCGAGATGGTATTATTAATTTTAGCAAAAGGAGAAAAGTTGCAGAGATTACCGGTGAAATACAGCAATATCAAAATCAACCTTATTGTCTCACTGTTGAAGTTGAAATTAGGGTAAGTGAAATTGTGCTCTTAGAGTGTGGTGTGCATATTGCAGCTACTTGTGCACGTGTAGGAATGTATCTAATAGATGCGTTGTGTGTCTCTACTGATTCACTGCTCACTTTTCTATCATTTCTACACAAATTAACGCTTTGATACGTGCAGTGTTTTCTTATCTGGTATAAAGTGAAACCCAAAGGGAAAAGTTGAATCGCTGCCTTTCAAGATCTGATGATGCAAGATTGCCCTATGATCACTTGCAATATTTAGGGGCAAGGTTCTCACAGTTTTGCTATGTTTGATACTGATATTTAATTGTCACATTCAACTGTTTTCTAGAATTTCTTTGAGGCATTGAGACCGAGGGAAGATATGTCTATTGAGGATTTTAACGATTTCTTGTTTTATAAGTCATTGGCTATTGAACCGAGGAATTGTAAACAACCACCCAAATTTGTAAGTATTGCCTTCTGATGAAAGTGAAATTTTGTTTTGTGCTGATGTTACACCATCTGAAACTGACAACCCATTATTGATTACTCAAGTTTGTGAATATTTTTAATAGTACCACCTAAGTTTGTAAATATTATTCTTAACATCTATGTAATTTAATTGCTGAATATTTATTTTTAAGTTTTTTTTCATTTGACAGCCTCGTAAATCAGAATTTCCACTGAGATCTCCTGGAATTAAAACTAGTCGTAACTTATCTATATCTGGTCCCTCAAAATCCCATCCTGTGGCTTTAAGTAGTGAACCCAAATCATTCAATTTCCAGGTATGTATGTAATAATTTATGGAAGATCTTTGACTTATTTAAATGGGAATCAACAGGATCAACTTTCATTGAACACAGTTCACCGATTGAAGAATTGATTTATTTTTTCTGTCATGATGTTATATTAATTGCCTCATCTCCACCATTTTTACTGTTTATTAGAAAATACAAGAAGATGAGACGGTGACATCGCCAAAGGCAGGAACCCCACCAGCACCTCCAACACCGACGTCACCTACAGCCACTTCGCCATTTGCTGAAGTGTTTGCTCCTGTAATGATTGACACATCTTCAGGTAATTCTGACATGCTGCAATCTCAGAAGCAAAAATCTAGTGGTCGCAAGAGTCTCCCTCAATAGATTGATGTACTAGGGGTAGTAGTGCTTTAATATTTTCAAGATGGCATCTGCTACTTCTGTCAAGATCATATAAGAAGTTTGCTTTTCAAACAAGTTCTCAAAAAGATGTGGTGACTAGCAAATACACAGCACATGTATTTAATTTAACTATTCGATTTAAGATGGCCGAATGCCAGCCATTTCAATAATAAAAATGCTTCAAAAATGAGCATTTCTACCATTAAAGACCCAGATCTCAGTTATGCATGACCTTCTTGAGTCATACATTGAACATATATTTTTCAGATTGGATTCAAAATGAACGAATGAGCCATATCTCTGACACACACATTGACTGATCACAATCACGCTTTACAACTACATTATACATCATGTCATTTCTATGACTGATTTGTTGATTTCCAATTTTGTTTTCTCACTCAGCAAGAGCAAGTGCTGCCAGTAGTAGTGTAACTGATGAAGAGCTCAAACCCCCACCTGTACCACCCAGGAAGCCAAAATCTTCCCAAAGTGATGTGGCACCAACACCAACATCTCCATTGTTATCGAACGTCCCACCAATACCACCAAGAGACAACCTCAATCGTCCGCCAGTTCCGCCGCGTGTTAACGTAAACGGTGCCATGGTTACACCGCAGGTACCACCAAGAACCTATAAACAACATTATAAGCATCAACATCACGCACCACCACCATCGTAATTAAGTTAAGGAATTAAGGAA